TGGTTTAAAACTTAAAGAGGGAAATAATAGAGTAAGGACAAGCAGCAATATTAATTAAAATTAATACAAAATTGTATAAATATGCTTCTGTGGGTGAGAAAGGAGTTTGTTAAAAATGGTCTTCTACCTGTACACTAAATAAATGCACAGCTTAAAAAGGTAGAATAAAGTGCGGATGTTATTTGATCAAGTTTTATACTTGGATAGTAAACTACTGATTTGTCTTCTCAGCTTCAATGTCATGATATAGTGTATGTCTGTTATCTTCTTGAAATTAATGTCCTTATTTAAAGTTGTTGCATACAAGTGTATCCTTGCAAGTTTAAATTTCATGTTTGCAAATATCAAAATGCAGAGACTACAGTACAGCTAGCACCACCAATACTTTTTCTTTGACATTTTGTATCCAAATGTCACTATGAAACTATATTTACAATCATTTTATTAAAAAATTACACTTTTTAAGATTTTACTCTGTAAAATTAGGTCCATCAGGCAGATAGGGAACAACAGAATTAAAAATATTATAGGCAGTGGTCCTTTATTTTGTAACATTACAGAAAAGCAATTTAAAATCCCATTCCAGTCTTCAAGTATAAATAATTGGAACTGTACAGATTGAGCACCTAATTAGGCATAATAGGGTTTTTTGCTGCATAGCTTTGTGAAGGCAATCAAAGGAAAATGCCTGCTACTGCAAACGAGACAATTAATTTTTTAGATCTCATTTAGTTTAGAAAGAATACTGTTTACTTTTATAAATTCCTAGGTCAAAATGCTTAGAAGAATTATTTTCCAAGTACTTTTTTTTGTTCAGAAAAACATTAAGGATTCTCTGCACTGTACTTACTGCTCTTAGCTACTCAAAATATTGCTGAGAACATATCTCCTCTTAAGAAAACATGCTGCTTCTTAAAAGGGATGTTCATAGCTGGTTCAGCTCTGCAACTCTATGAGAACTAGGAAAGCCAAACTATTCACAGTGTCAAGTAAATGAAAGTAATCAGTCAAAGGATGGGTAGAACAAATTACTCCCTCAGTGCCAGAATTATTATTTTCTACAAATTAAAAAGTAAGATCTGATTCCACCAGTTCTCAGTTTCTTTGTTCAGATAAAGAATATATTTTATTATTTAATGTAATTCTCTTACAGTAAAATACTCCCTTTCTGAATGTATTATTACATTTGTCAGAAAACAACAAAGCACTAGTATCATGTGAAAAATTAAATCTAAGAGGATTTTTTATTTTCTCATGGCTTAAAATGGTTTTGCCAAATTGTTGAAGATGACGTACAGGAAGAAAAGGTATGAGGGCTTTCTGTCCTTTTTCTTCTCTTAGCAAATTCTCCTGAAAGAGCCAACAGTATTACTCTTCTGTGCAATTTGCTTAATGACAAATATGAGTTCAAGTGTCAGTTGGAAATAGTTATTTTCTCATTTAGAAACAGGAAAAGCCCATTTCTGTAGATATTTTTCAATATCTACATTCTGAGTGTAAATCTAGGTGGATGTTTATCTTGTGGACAGAGATGACAGAAAACAAAATTATATACTCTGACATCAGTATTCTCTAGGATACACAATGAACATGAAAACCTGTCTCATGAAGTTGAAATGAACTTTGATCTTCTAACACACTGTTCAGTATCTTGACTACAAAAAGATGAAAAATCTTATCTCATGAGACCAAGCAGAAATTGGCTGCACCATTTTAAAAAAATAAAAGGTGTATAGAGTTCAGTACCTTTGCTCTTTAAGGAGGAGGAATTCGACAGTGTGCTAATAGTATGGGAACTCTGACATTTCAACACAGACTACTTACAATGAATTTAATTTTTTTTCTATTAAAACAAATGACCTGGAACATTCAGAAAAGAGAATAGTCTTGCTTCATCAATTTTACTGGAAAATATTTTGCTTTCTGATCTTGGGGAATATGTCCCTTAAGATTTTGATTGTAGTGTTGCCATTTGCTGTTATCATGCGCTGTTCAGTAACTTCAGTCAGAGAAAAAGTGTACTGCAATCCATCCTGCGTGATAAAGAGGTTCAAGAAATACCTCTGGAATACCCTTTAGTCCATATGTGTGATATAAAAATCACATAGACATTCTAGCATGTAAGCTTAGAATGAATTCAAATGCTTAAATTCAATGCTTTAATATTGAATTCTTCATATAAGATGCAGTCTCTCTAATAAGAAATGTGTATTTATACGCTTACTTATATAAGTGAGTATATAAGATGATTACATTATCATTACTACTCATTAGAATATTTTGAAACATATGATTCAAGTGCTGCTAATGGAGAAAGAAAATACTTCCGTGTAGCTTAGAACATTGCCAACGTGGCTTCTTAGAAAACAAAAGAATCAAATGCAGGGCTTCATAAATAAGTGGGTCTAAACACAGATAACAGAGATGCAACTCAGCAGATGCAGCAGTTTGTGCAACAGATTCCACAAAAGGGCACCAGAAATTACTGAGGGCAGTATATTGGTTTCTGAAATGGGGAAAAAAATCAGAAGGAACTGTGCATCTCACAGGGTTCAATCTGGATTGCATAAACTCAGAAAAGTTCTGATGAGAAGAACAGAGAAGCCATTGAAGACTGTTTTCTGTATAAAATGCATTTAATTAATGTTACCTTTCTCTCTTTGTAACAAGAAATGCAGAAAGTAACCTTATATTAATGCAATGAGCTTATCAGTTTTCATTGTCATAAAAAATTAGCAAAAATCCATGAAATTGCAGGAAGAATGGTACTTTGATTAAGAGAAAATCAAATTTCCTACAAAAAGTGAATTAAATAAGTGTAATGGCTTAATTTCCAGCAGGAAATAGATGAGAATAAAGTTCAACCATGAAGGACTGGAAATAAAAAAAAATTAAATACTGATTGAGATAAACAGAGTAATTGAGGAAAACACTTTCTATCCTAGTGAAAGTGCAAATAAGTTATCTGAGGAAGTAAAAGCTGGAAATTTCAAAACTGATGTGTTTTTTATGCGTATTATAGCTTCCTTGTGAAATTCACTGCATAACAATGCAACACAACACTGTTTATGTGTGAAGGTGACAGAGGGTTTGCGTGTTTGTCTAGACACCAATTATGTGTAAATGTATGTGTATAAAAACTTTTACCCCTCTGAACTTCCTTTGAATATGATTAATTTTTTATCCCAAAAAGAATTTGATTTTCTATTTAACTTTGCATTTAGTGAAGAGTATATAGATGAAAAAGCTAAAGAGAACCATGTTTTTATAACAAATCATAGTAAATAATTCTTTTATAATGTAAACCTCTTTGTTCAGGATTTAAGTATATTTTAAAATATTAGATATTAGAGTAAACAAAAAACCACCCCCAAACTACATATGTTAGCATGTAATCCCATAATTTTTTATGTGACCACTGACACATCCTCCCACATTCATTGTGTTCTGAGATTAAATATTGAGCTATATGGATCATTACTTCAGTTTAATACCCACTTTAATATTCTGGAGAAACTATAACTGGAACATGTGATTGAGTAGAAAGTATTTCTAGGTAAAGCAATGAAAAAATTGGAGAATGAGTTCTATAGAAAAAGAAAAGGTTCAACCTTCATTTGGAAGAAAATTTTTCTAAGGGTTAGTAGGGTTTTTTGAATTATTTTCTTTTTTCAGTTAAAAAATATTGACAAACAAAAATCAACACCCAAAGTTCAGGAGTACTTTCTGTGAACACTGAGATGAAACATATTCAAACTCATTGATAAATATAGTTTTAAAGTAAAATAAACTTTTAATTAATTACTTTTCTGAAATAGAACAAAACATTCCTACACAGTGAGTGGAGACTTCACTTTGTTTAAAATCAAAGATAGACTTTTCTTCAAGACAAAAAACAAAGCCATTCTCTGAAACTTTAATGATCTATTGTTTTCTGACTTTTTGATTAGTTCAAACCGTGTGAAATGGAGTGAGGAAGAAAAAAAGACTTTAACTTAGAAACAGGACTGGATTTAGCCTGAGATTTTTCAGAGCAATGTACATTTGGGATCATGGATTCATAGAATGGAATTACTGAGCTCACTCTCTTGTAACAAATGGTGCTTAGCTATAACTTATCTTCCAGAGCCTTCTAAGCTTAACTGAAGACACTGTGAGATAGAGAATTCATCAGTTTCTTTGACTGGGTGATTCAAACCATTCACAGTTAAAAAATGTTTCTTATTGAGATATGTTCAACTTCAATTTTCACATGTTACATTTAGTTTTATTTTTTTCAGTAGATAAAAGAATGTTTATATATCCAACATTATTTTTCTGTGAAAGTGTGAGGTGTGTGGCTATTTCTTTCTTTCTTCCTTTTTTTTTTTTTTTTTTTTTTTTGGTAGAATGAAACTGGGGAAGCAGCTTAAATTTCTCAGTTTAATTACTTGCTCAAGCCTTCAAATGTGTTTTTTGATTCTGTACCAGTCCTTCAATCTTCCTGCTACTGAAGAATTGTTCATTTTCTTCAATGTTATTGACAAAAATGGTGCACAAAAGAGACTTCAACCCCTCTAGAAGCAATTCCATTCAGTGAAATCCCCTTAGGTTGACAATAATCAGAGATCTACCAGGTGTCCAGTCACTACTTTATTGTGTGCTTTACTGCTATTCTAAAGAGCTAATTCATGATTAGAATGTCATGAGAAACTAAAGGGAATACAGAAATCTAAGAAGATCAAATCACTGGCAGGTTATTCTCTGAAGAAAACAATTTTCTCAAGAAATTAAATTAAGTTTGTTTGACATGACCTGTTTTTCATAGAGCCATGTGGAGTGGCATTAATTTTATTCCTGTTTGTTGATTCTTAATTAATCAAATCTCAAATTGGTATTTCCATTTTCATTTTGAATATATAGTTCATTTGTTGGTTGTGTTTTAGAAAACTTTTTTTAAATTTTTACTACTGATAGAGGGAACATACTTTTATCTTCTCTCACTTTCTCCTTCATTTTAGGAGTTACAGTGCTTGAAGGGCCTATTTATGCAGTGGGAGGACATGATGGTTGGAGTTATTTGAACACAGTTGAGAGGTGGGACCCTCAAAGTCAGCAGTGGACATTTGTGGCAAGTATGTCAATTGCCAGAAGCACTGTTGGAGTAGCAGCATTAAATGGCAAGTGAGTAGGGTGTGCTTACACAATTGAAACACTTCTTTTGAAAACCAATGAAGCTTAATTGTCATTGCTTTCCCTTATTAAGTTACAGTGGCATTGATATGTTCCAGGGTAGATCAAATGGTCAAAGCTGCTTTAATAGCCCTGTTACTCTACAAGAAACTGGTTTCAGTGGTGAACGAGCCATGCAGCAGACTAGCAGAAGCAACATCTAGACAAAAAACCCTGGAAAAATTGATTTAAAGTCATGAAGAGCAGCATATGGCCATGCATATATATTCCAGCTTTGTTAGTTTTGCAGAGCTAACCATATGTTTAATGCTTCCCAGTTAACTCAATTGAATTTTGCATTACTTATATCAAACACTTTCAAATTAAAAGAGGTGTTATCTGTGTCCAAGAAAGGTAGGATGGATGCCATTAAAAACTGAAAAGCAGTGGTCTCACTACAACAAGTAGAAATATGCCATTGATTTTTCTTATTTTTATCTGAGTACCCATCTTTTAAAAATATCCAATATGTCAAGAACTGCAACTTGAAAACATACGTAAGGACCTCTCAACTTCCCGGTGCTATTCTTGCTACATTGCTGTTTCACACAACTGACATATGCTGCATTCCTCAGGATATTGGAAATGGATTTCTCATTGAGAAACACAATGTTCGGTTTAACATCCAACAAAGGAGAAAAATATTTTAGTATGGAAGTTCTGAGGAGTTTTTCCTTGGTTATTGATTATGATTTCTTTCTTCAGCAGTGAATTAAATAGGTAAATAAATAAGGTACATTAGATGATTGTTGAAGTGAGAGTGCTACAAACTATTCTGCATGTGTACCTCTCACACTATTTAAAGTTTCAGGCACTTTAAATAAAATGGATAGTGGTTTCAAATGTGAGTTTCTTAAGAGACTTGAAAAAGTATAGCCACTTCTTTTGTGTTTTAATGTGAGAAACTATTCCATTTGTGATTTTCCATTGCTCTGTGGTTGGCTGAATTTGTTTTCCATTTAAATTGATTTTATGCAGAAAAATGAAAATTGTATTTTTCTCTTGGTTTACGAGAAATAAATAAAAAAATTTCAAGCTTTCATATTCTGATCTCGTCAGGATCTGAGTAAGAAGATTGATTTGAAAGTAACCTCTTAGTAATTCCCGATGCATTAAAGTGTTACGGAAGCTCACTTGTGTAGACCATGCAAGTAAATTATCAATTATTTTGGTGCTCAAAAAAATTGAAAACAATACTATCTAAATTTGGCAAAACAGGGCACACAGAAATGAATGTTATTTCACTGAAATGCATATTTAAATTGAAATTGTTATATCAACATCTTTCCTAAAAGATGAAAAGGATTGTGTCAACATATTTTTCAAATTAGAACATAATCTAATTTGAAAAATATATTAAATTATTGAAGCAATAAAATCCTACTGAATTTCTCAGAAATTCAGAAAAATAACTATCTGAAGTTTTGGATTTTTTTTAAATTTTAAATTTAGTCCATTTGCCAAGCTTCTTTTCTGTAATCATGCTGCCTTATTACATTTCTAAGTTGCAGTACTGTTTCACCCAGGAGGGCTATGTGGAGTATCTTCACCTCCCCACACAAAGGTTGCCTGGTTGTTACCTCCAGATTTCCCAGAGTAATAGGATACAATAGTTACTATCCTTCAATAAGAAACACAGGCAATATTAATTTTCTTAAAAGTCTTCTTAGTTGTAAGGAGAACTAGAACAACTAATAAAAGATAAATGTGTTTTTTGAGATAAAAGAAAGACACATGACAAATTTATTTTACCAGAATTTCAATGGAACAATTTATCTGGTGCTACATATGAAATAAATACTTAAGATGAAAAAAAGGTGTATAGTACAGGGATTTGAAGAAGAAAAGGACTGTGTACAATAACTAGGATGTCACAGTTACCCCTGCAAATCGTTACAGATCTGTCCTGGTTTAAAAGAGTATAACAGCAAGAGCAAGTTAGTTAATTATCAGACCATTCAAAGTGGCACCAAAGGGAATAATATCATATGGTTCATGTTGGCCACATGAATACAGAAATATTTGGATGACCTTAAGAATCAACACAAATCGAATATTTACTAGTTTATGAGTGAATTAACAAGCCTTGTGTTTGAAGAAAATTAATGCTAAGAAGTAAAAGAAGAGGTGAAAAAAGCTTTGTATGTTGTTAGCAAAGAAAAAAAAAAGAGAAGAAGAAATCTGGGGGAAAAAAATGGAAAGGCTACCTAAGAACACATGAAGTTTTATTAATACTGGAAATGTTCATGTTGCGTTAATATGTGGAATTCTTGTCATCCATACTGAAGAAACTTCAAGTGAAATTGCAAAGGTCATATAATGTGTACCATGACTATCAAAAATGCGTGTCATACCACAGAAAAGCCACAAAAGTGATACAGTACAGTTGCAAAGAAACAGAGGCACAAAATAGCTGCAATTCATCTGGGAAAGTAGAGATGAAAGAAAAGTAATATGGGGACAATAAGGTCATGTCCACAAACCTCTCATCAGGTTCTAAATGCCTGTTTATTGGTTCATATAAAGGGTAATGTTATGTATTTTTATGTAACTCCAAAAACTGGAATATGAGAATTTTCATTTTCAGTAATATTTTGTTGTTTTCAAAGTCAACAATAGGTTCTGGGTAACACTAACAATGTATGGTGAGGCTTTGGAGATTCCATCTCCTTCATCTTCATGTGTTTCTCATAGTCAAACAGTAACACAAAAGTGGAGTGTGTTATCTTACTATATATAAAATTATTTATTTTTAACTTGATGTCTTTATCAATTTTCAGTGTATTTTGGTAGGTGTTGTAGGAATTGCCATGGCTGTAGAATTGCCTGGGATGAAATATGGTCAGTAATCCCTTCTGATATGGAAACAGCATCATCCTCTCTGCCTTGTTACTGTTAACAACCCTGTTACAGAGACTGGAAGAGAAAGAGTGTGCGAACTTCCTCAGATTAGTAATAGATATGGGTGTTAAAATACTAAATGTGGGATGGAGATCTACACTTTGAAAAATCTAGTAGAGGATGGTGCTTTTTACATGCAAATAGTGAGTCAAAAGTTGGGATGACTTATTTGAATCTTCTTTGGGGCTCACATAAGTGGTGTGTAGCGGGTGTGCAAGTCATACTATATAAGGACCAGCATTATATGGTTGTCAGCAGACAGTGCTGAAGCAATAGAACTTTTCTGCAGTATAAGTTAGAAGCACCAAGGAACCAAAAGTGTGAAAAAGTCTATCTTTTCCAGAAACTTTTTAAAATCATCACTTTTCTATTTCAAACTTTTCTTAATTTCCTAATTTTAAACTCAAGAAGAACAAAAAAATCTAGTTGACATATTCAATCCAATAAATACTAATCCTTTCATTAACTTAAAATCTAAATGCCTCCAAATTTATAGCTAATACCATAGCTATTTATTATCCTACTATGAAAAAACTCCAATACATGAACTGCTCATTCCCTAAAAACACTAAACCTTTCCACTAATTTAATTTAATTTCAGAACATATTTTATGCTAATGGTATAGCTCTAAGCGAAAATGAAGTTTAGTTTACACACTTTCATCAGGAGTACATACTCCTCAAAGACATTCTCTGTATCATAGAGATTTATGTTATTCTAAATATTTTTATGTCACTACCATAACCGAAATTTTTCTGTGTTGCTCTATTATATGTCCACAAAGACTGCATTACAAAAAATATTCCTTTGTTTCTATTGGTATGTTCGAAATTATCACTATTTTTTGAAGCAGCTGTAGCTTTCATGACAGAAAGCCTGGCCCTTAAGTCTTGAGCCCTTTAGTGAATATCATTTAAATCTGTGTTACAAAAGCATAAAATGCTCAGCTGTTGATAGGATCCACAGGCTGACTGAATAGTAGAACATCACAGCAGTACCTGAAGTGTCAAAAATCATGACTTTGACACACACTGGCAAGCAGTTCAATCTCTTGCTATCTTGTGGAGTCGAGGAAAAGTAGTCCTACCCTTTATTGATTGCCACATCTTCAAATATGTGCTATAGTTAACTTGATGTTTTCCCATGCTGCTGTTGTTACTATTAAATACCACAGAATGCTGTTGATATATGATAGATGACAAAAAGCGAGGAATTGTTTAATCTTAACTTTTAGAAATACCACTGTCAGTATTCTTTTAAATAATATTTTACTTTTTTTAAGGAAAAGAAAAGTTTTGTACATATTTGTTGTCTCTGAAGGAAAGTAAAAGAGCAAGGAGAAATGCTGCAAGAAAATATTATTTCCCATCAATATCCAACTGTCTGCTTACCATTTGCTGTCACAGGCAAAATAAGCTTGACTTGGAGAAAATTAATACAATTCATTAGTAATAAAAATAGAGTCTGGCTAGTCAGAAGAAACCCCAAGTTTTAAAATGCCACCTTTCTTCCCCCCCTTTCCTAGGCTCAGTTTATGTCTTGTATAACATTATAATCCCACCCCTGACTGGTGCAGGGGGATGGGAAATGGGGATTGTGGTCAGACCAAATTTGTTTCTCTCTGCTGTTCCTTCCGCACACATTTCCCGTGCTCCATCATGGGTTCTCCATGGGCTGCAGTCCTTTTGGAGATGACCTGCTACTGCAGTGTAGTGTCCCCCATAAGCTGCTGTGCCTGTGACTGGTGATTATCTTAAGCAGGAAAATGCAATGCCAATACTACAGGCAAAATGCATAAGCTGACCCAGAGATATTTTCCTTTACAGGAACAAACCCCTAAGCATAGATCCTCTTAATCGAATCCAACATCTTTAAAATTGGAGTTGTTTGGCAAGCCTCATCTCTCTCCATCAATTATGTTGAAAAAAAAGTCCTTTTTCCTGTTTGCCTGATACATTGATATTTTTTTCATAATATTGTTGAAAGACAGTCTAACATAAAAAGCACTGTTTTTCTGGCTGTGTCCTTTAAGTAATTATTTATTATCAAT